AAAAATAAATATCATGAAGAAGAATAAATTAAACAACATTTGCCCCAACAGTACATCCGAATTCCTTACCAAATTTGAACTAAAAATCAAATACGAAAAATAAATAGTATTAATGAAAATAAGAAAAAATAAAACGATAATGAAATTATTGCGTGGGCGAGCAAGTTTTTGACACCGCCATCTTTGGCGATTTTTTTTTTTTTTTTTTGGCTTTGTCAAATGCCATGAAATTGTATACATATGTATCTTACATAATAGAGAACCTACATATAAATTTTGGAAAAATAATAATTTTTTTCCGGCCCCGAAATAAAGGGAAAACAAAAAGTGAAAAGAAAAAAAAAACAAATTAGTAAGTGGGAAAGCAAGTTTTGACAACAGCCCCTCATTTGTTGTCCTCTTCTCTCTCTCTGCCTACGGTTTTACCGGGCAGTTCTGTTTGTGACGATATATATATTCGGTAAATGGTTTGCAGAGAGAGAGAAGAGGACAACAAAACAGGGTCTGTAACAAACTGTTTCGTACGGGCTTGACGGACTCATAAAGAGGTTGAACCCTCGACGAACTGAACCCAGTTCAATTATATATATATATATATATAGTCACAAACATATATATATATATATATATATACAGGGTTGCCGGCGTTCGGGACGGGCCGAACACCGAACCCGAACGCCCGAGCGTTTGGGAACCCCTCTCGACGCATTCGGACGTTCGGCCGAACACGGAACCAAAAAAATAATAATAATAAAAAAAAATAAAAAAAAATCTAAAACTTCTGAAACAAAACTATGTCATGCAGAAGAATAAACTAAACAACATTTGCCTTAACAGTACATCCAAATTTCTTACCAAATTTGAAATAACAATCAAATACGAAAAACAAATAATATTAATGAAAATAAGAAAAAATAAAACGAGAATGAAATTATTGCGTAGGCGAGCAAGTTTTTGACACCGCCATCTTTGGCGATTTTTCATTTTTTTTTGGCTCTGTCAAACGCCATGAAATTTTATACATCTGTATCTTACATCATAGGGAACCTACAAATAAAGTTTGAAAAAATAATAATTTTGTTCAGGCCCCGAAATAAAGGGAAAACAAAAAGTGAAAAGAAAAAAAAAACAAATTAGTAAGTGGGAAAGCATGTTTTGACACCACCATCTTTGCCGATTTTTCATTATTTTTTGGCTCCATAGAATGACTTCAAAATTGAGCGACAGGTAGCTTACATAACAGAGAACTCACAAAAACCAAATCAGATAAAAATAATAATTTTTAGGTACCGAAATATTGTTTTGCGGGGTCCGAACCCCTTCGAGTTCGGGCCCCGTACGGGGACCCGAACGCCCGAACGTTCGGTGGTCAGCTTAGGGGCCTCCGTACGTTCGGCCTGGCAGCTCTGTATATATATATATATATATATATATATAGGTATTGCAATGAGCCCGCGTCATGAACACGATAGTCAAAAAAGAACCCAGTTCAATTATTTTTTTCCTTTGTTCCGGCAAAAAAAAAAAAAAAAAATTGCAAAAAAAAATTGTTCTTCATATATATATGAAACTCCGACGAAACAGTTTGTCACAGCCCCTCGTTTGTTGTCCTCTTCTCTCTCTCTGCCTACGGTTTACCGGGCAGTTCTATTTGTGACGATATATACATATAATATATATATATATATATATACTGTCTTGGGACGTAGGTCGTGATCTTTGGAGCTGTGCTTTCGCGTGTGCAGGTGCGTCCAGCCTTCCCCATCCATAGAGCCGGGCCATCAACATGGACCGCCAACAACCTCCTGCGGCTTTGCCGCCGTCGTCGAAATCCCCGTTGCTTCCTACTCCTCTCTCTTCATCTCCATCAGCTTCGCGTGCTCTCTCTTCTTTGCAAGGCTCTCCGGTGTACCATGATATTTCACGCGGTCGAGGGAGAGGGATTTTGGATCCACGCGGACGTACTCGATCCGACGGACTCATATTGGAGAGACCTGCAACCAGGCAGCGTTTGGATGACAGAATGACGGTTTTGCCGTTCCCTCCTCTACTAAATTCGACAACTGCCACACAAACTCCTCTCCTGAGTCACAAGCGCGCAACCATTGCCGCAATCCCGGCTCTGCCCACTCGTTGGCGATCCCGCAACGTTTCCTTTTGCGCAATTCGCTGTGGTTTCTTCTCGTCCTCCATTTTCTTCGCCCATGGGCTCTCGCGCAGCGATGTTGTCGACGCCTTGGTCCGCAAGTCAGACCATGTGCGATGTCCATGCCTTTCGTTCGAACGCCGCGCATCCATTTGCTTTGCCCCGCTCATTCCCGTATTCGCAACATCATAACACCGGCGCGGTTCCCGTTGCAAGTGTCTTTGCTTCGGATCCCATTCATCTGACAGAAGAGACACGATTGTCGGATGAAGCAGTGTTGCCGACATCTTGCACTCCGGTTTCCACGAACCGTGCACGCGATGTTCTTTCGCCGTTTAATGATTGCGAGGTTGGGATGAGTTTCTCGCGTCGGTCGCCCCGTTCGAGGTCCAGTACACCTCGTGAATGCAAGCCTCGCTGGGTGCGATGCAGACCCGATCAGCAAAACCGACTGGGTGAGATTGCAAAGGCGATGGGGAAGAAGTTGTCGACTCACGCTCGCAGCTCGAAAGATAAGAAGAACAATCATTGTTCGTGCGAGGACGTGTTCGACCAGCTCCTGGAACGGAGTTCCGTTCACGTTGATGAACTGATGTCAAAGTACGGCCCGAGCGAGCAATCGTCTGCCCATGGGGGTTCATGCGGACAAGGATCGGACTCAACGGCGACACCGAAGTCGAAAGGTGGTACACCTCGCAGTGACGCTTTGAAATGGCGCGACGGTAAGCCAGGATATTCGGATAATGGTCCGATGTTTGAAAGGTTGACCATGAGGGACCAAATGGTCATGTGGGATGCTAAGGCCAGACCTCATGTCGTTTTCATTGAGCCGCTAAAACTTTTACAGATTCTCGGGATGTTCGAGCAAACGTATCCTCGGCACGGGAAAGACGTGGAGGTGACCATCACGAAGATACATTATCCATGTCACATTTGCAAGTTGCAATTCGAGTGTGGGAAAGGGTGTACTTGGCACTGGAGTTCCGCGAAGGTTGTTTCAACAGCTGGGGTGAGAAATTCGAGGGTGGAGACTCAATTGTTCCACTCCACTTTGACTGCGGGAATGACGTACACTCAATTGAATAACCTCTTGCTGGGCTTAGGAATGAGGAAGGTAAGGAAAGAAACTTTCTATAATTTCTTCCGTGAGGACAGCCCAGGTTCCCAACAGTGGCTGCGACACGTCGAACGTATTACTCAAAAGAGCTTCGACAAGGTCATCGTCCGATTGCGCAGCTCGAACGATCCGGTCGTCGTTTTGGTGGACGGCCGTTACGATTCGTCTCGTGACGCTCAGCATTGTATGGTGACGGCGGTGGATTTGAAGTCAGGAATGATCGTGGGGACGGAGACCATGCTCCGGGGGAGTGAGCCGTCTTGGAAGTTGGAAACACAGTGTGTGGAGAAACTGCTTCATCGGTTGAAGGACGCGAAGAACCTCATCATCGCAGAGGTTGTGCATGATGATTGTGGCGCGGTTGACGTCATATTGCGGCGAATGAACATTGACTCGCAAAAGTGTATGTGGCATAAGGCGAAGACTTTGGTCAAACTCTTGCGAGAGGCTGTGCGCGGCACGAAGACTGTAAAACCAGCTTTGGTCGGGGCTTGCGATCATGTGCGTGAGGTGAAGTGTTTCACAAAGAGGGAGCTTGAACTTTGGCTCGAAACGAAAGGTGTACGCGTGGCCGGGGTGTCCACGAAAAAAAAGGATGAACTCGTTGAGATTGTTTGGGGTGTGATCTTCCCCGACGAAGCAGGGAAGGCTTTGTCAGATGATGTCATCGAGATCGACGCGTTGCAAACACTGCATTGCAATGCGGCGGAGGAGGCGAAAGAGTGGTTGTACGGCCCTTGCAGGTTGCGCGAGCTTGCAAGGGATGACGATGGCGATGTGTTGGCCACTCATGTGCAACACCTCGCCAATCACTGGGTCGGGGATCATTCCCGTTGCGATAATGTGTTGTCCAACCTGTGCAAAGCGGCCGACGTGTTCATTTGGCCATCGCGCGGTGTCTTGAACAGTTCGCTTAGGATGACCTTCAACAACGAGTGCTTCCACTCCGTGATCAACAAGTACTGCACGAAACGCCTGAACTTCCCCAAGTCATATGAGGCGCGCGTGTGTTGCACTGCTTTGGAGTGGAACAAAACAAACGAATCAAGCGATTGCGCACAGTCTTCCGCAAACCGACAAASGTAGCCCATCGACGTCGCTCCGCACGACAGCATATATACGCCGCACGGGATACGTCGTGGCGCTTCGACATTGCAACTGAAGTTTTCGGCATCCCTCGGGTTGGAGACTGGGCACGTAACATGTTGCAGCAATCGAACGTCGACGACCCAGTTATTGAGCATTATGATGAGGAAGCTTATTATGGACTCCCTGATGCCGTTGATTGTATGGTGGAGGGTGTTGTGGCCGAAACTGACAATGTTTCCGTAGAGCCGGGAAGCGAAACTGCTTCAGATGACGAAAAGTCATCTTCCGACTCCGACAACGATGGTGCCGCTCACCGCCTCGACTTAGACGGCGCCGTGCTTTCGCAGGAGGTGTCCGTTGCGCAGGAGTGATAGTGTCACGTACTACATGGATGTCTTTGTCCGTCGTTATATATATATATATATATATACATATATATATATAGAGAGAGAGAGAGAAAGAGAGAAAGAGAGAGAGAGAGAGAGAGAGAGAGAGAGAGAGAGAGAGAGAGAGAGATTAAGAGAAAGACGTTCACACTGTTTTGCATGTATCGCTTTTGCCACGGGGGCACATACCTACATATGATCTCTCTCTCTCTCTCTCTCTATATATATATATATATATATATATATATATATATATCGCAGGAGGTGTCCATTGCGCAGAAGTGATATTGTCACGTACTACATGGATGCCATTGTCGTCGTGATAATCATGAGAATTTTATGTTCTCAATTTGAACTGGTTGTAATTTTGAATTGCTTGTGAGAACTGGTTGTGACAACTGCTTTTCATCTCTCGCAGGAGGTGTCCATTGCGCAGAAGTGATATATATACAGGGTAACCGGCGTTCGGGACGGGCCGAACGCTCGAACCCGAACGCCCGAACGTATGGGACCCCTTGGGGATGAGCGAATTCCTTATCAAATTTGAACAAGATTTGCCTGAGCATTACATCCGAATTCCTTACCAAATTTGAAATGAAAATAAAATACAGAAAACAAATACTAATAATAAAAATAAATAAAAATAAAAAGAGAATTAAATTTAGTGAGCGCGCGAGCATGTTTTAGAGAGAGAGAGAGAGAGAGAGGGAGAGGGAGACGGATGGAGATGAAGAGAAAGACGTTTACACTGTTTTGCATGTATCAATTTTGCCACGGGGAGACATATCTACATATGATCTCTCTCTCTCTCTCTCTCTCTCTCTCTCTCTCTCTCTCTCTCTCTCTCTCTCTCTCTCTCTCTCTCGTATGTGACAGGAGTCTCGACCAACTCATCCATCGTCGCGTCCAATCCCACGTATGTCACTGCAGTATCGACCAACGAAGCCAGGCGTGGCCATGTGGCTCGAATCAGCACCGCATCCGTACGTTCCCCACCGCCTCGCATCGCCCCTCTGCGTAAAACTCGTTGCGGATAATCTGCAAACAATGTTGCGCAAGTCAACGCCGAATTCCAGACGACGGTATGAACTTGGTCGAGAAATCATCGTCATTGCAAACAAAATACGACGCAATTACAACAAGCCGCCACACTCCATCCCGATAAATAGTGCCGTAGTGTGTTTTCAATTTACGATACACTAGTGGGTAGACAATATCATACATTTTTCTATCTATATATACAGACTACTACAAACATAAGTTTGCGGTCGCTTTTCTCCCCTTGTTTATCCGGTTTTGTCGATTTTTTTTTTTTTTTTTTTGCTTCCCTAGTTATGATTTTTCTTTTTCCTTACCTTTTTTTGTTTGTCCTCCACACACCCTTTTTTTTTCTGGTTTTCTTTTTATTTTTACATAACGACTGTTTTCATGTCTTCGGTATTGCCCCCTTGTTTCGGCTCTCGACTAGGGAACAGCGGCGAGAAGGCGGTGATACATATGTGCTCACCTTCTGCGTGCGGTCATATATATATATATATATATATATATATATATATATATATATATATATATATATATATTCAGCCTCTCTGATGAGTCGGTGAAACTCCGACGAAACAGTTTGTCACAGCCCCTCGTTTGCTGTCCTCTTCTCTCTCTCTGCCTACGGTTTTACCGGGCAGTTCTGTTTGTGACGATATATATATATACGAGAGAAGACGACAACAAACGACGAACTATATCGTCACAAACAGAACTGCTCGGTAAACCGTACGCAGAGAGAGAGACAGAGAAGAGGACAACAAATGATGGGCTGTGACAAACTGTTTCACCGGAGCACCGTCGTTTATTGTCATATTCTCCCTCTGTCCTTATAAGCCGAACAACGAAACGAAGAGCCAAAAACAAACCAAAATAATTGCGAATACTAAAAAATTTACAACCACATTCACATTTGCCACCCATCGAAACTTTAGAATCCCGTTCACATAATCCTGACGAAAGGTGAAAAAAATCAGAAACACACAAAAATATTACAAATGAAATGATACAACAATCGTCACGGAGAAAATCATAACAGGGCGTCACCATTCTCATTTGCATGACATGCGTGTAGTACAAAATATATACATTTTCAACAAAAAAAAAACAAATGTCTGAAAAAGATTGCAAGAACGAATGGAATGTATCCCCATTTCCGTTCACTAACAACAGAACAACTTTTGCCCTCTTTACAAGCCACGTGCCACTCATGGCTGCCTTATCCGCCGTCACGATAGTACAGGCCGCGTTTCTCGGTGCCCAACAAAGTCACCATCACCTTCATCGCCCTTTCCTGACTTCGTACACGAACGACGGCAAAAATACCAAAATACAATTAAAGTTCGACGAATTCTTTACTACTCTTTATTGAAGACGAGATCCGAAAAAATATAATTTTTTTACAAAATGAAGTATTCAAATCCCGACAACCTACAAACTAAACCGCCTACAAACTTGCACCTCCAACGCCACCATCCCCTCCTTCCTCGTCTCCTCCATCTTCACCACCTCCCCCTTCCTCATCGCCGCCATCTGCACCCCCTCCCCCCTCCTCATCGCCACCATCTTCACCCCATCCCCCTTCGTCATCGTTGCCATCGTCACCCCATCCGCCTTCCTCATCGCTGGTGGGAGGCGACAGCAGGTGACCGTTTGGCGGAGGCGGGAATGTCCATGCAGGGAAGTGTGAATACGTGGCGGATATGGCCGCCCAGCCGATCGGACCATGCGTCGGATCGCCTCCCCAACCACCATTTAGCTCGGGCAGACCTTGCGGAAGGTCCCCCCATCCCTCCGCATGATGCACGGCTGTATTCGCCGTTGATTGGCCAAACACGCCAGAGGCCGCTGATGGAGAGGATGGGGAAGCGGGCGGTGGTACGGGATTCGTGACGGGAACGGGGTTCGCACCAA